CTCTCTCTGTGGGGAGTCCCCTTTTCTACTCATTTGGGGAGAACTTCTTTTTCTTCCCATTTTTGTGAGAGTCTATTAAGTATTTTTGTCCTTTACTTTTCTTTCTGGGCTTGCCTCTGATGATGTCAGTTGTTGACCCTATAGGGCCTTGGGTTGTTTGTTTGAGCCTTTCAGGAGTCTAATGCCTGTGTCTGACTCCTGCTTGGAGCAGCTCTGTGACCCCTTCGGTCAGGGCTGGGCTATTTTTTGGGATCTCTCTGCGCTCTCACGAGAGCTCCTTGAGCGCGTTCCCAGCGCGGCAGGGTCCCCCCACCTGCCTGGGCTCGCATGTGTTTGCCCCAGACCAGAGGGCTTATTCGCGACCTCCCGTGCTCATCTGACCTCCCTGGCACGCGAGCTTCGCGGCACTGGTCAGTTTAGAGTCTTCTATTGTGTGTTTTCCCCGCTTTTGGCTCTTTGGGTGCGTTGCTTGCCCTCGCCAAATGGGGACTATGGAAATGGGAGGAAATCAGCTCTCCGGTTAATCCTGTTTCTGGTCTCTCCTCCAGGGACTCTGGGCAGCTCTACTTATTTTGTGGGCCGCTCTGCAATCGCGGCGGGCGGGTCAATTTACGCCTGCCCTTGCCCCTCTGTGCAATCCCTCGCAGGCCGTATGGGTGCCAGTCTGTGTGAGGCCTTGCCGGCAGGTGCAAGCGTTTGCCAGCCCGGGTGGGTCACACACACGCTCGCCAACCCTCGCCAGTCACTCGGCGCAAGTGTGCGCGCCTGCTCTGGGTGTTTTGGGGGTGTCCATGTTTGCTTTTCGGCTTTTGGCTCTTTGGGGGTGTGGCCTCTTCCCGCGCAATGGAGACTTCGGCAAGGAGAAGGAGTCAGGACTCCCCGGTTCCTCCTCCCGTTCCCTCCCCAATGCCTCCGTTTCTAGTCTCCCCCCAGGGGCCTCCGGGCAGCTCCGCGACCCCCCCGGCCGAGGATCCAACCCCTGTGTGGACCGCGCCCCAATCGCAGGCAGCCTGGCTCACGCGCGCCCCGCTTCCGCCTCCCCGGGGTCGCGCCCCCCCAGCCCACAATGGAGACCACCGAACAGGGAGGGAGTCGGGACTCCCCGGTTCCTCCTCCCGTTCTTTCCCCAACGCCACTGTCTCCAGTCTCTCCTCAAGGCTCTCCCAGACAGTCTGCACTCAGCCCCGCAGGTCACAGGCGCACAAGCTGTGTGCGGAGCGCACAAAAGGCAGGTTAATTGATTCCCTTATGCCTGAGCGAGATGGTAGCTGCAGAGTGGGAAGTGCGTTATCACCCGGGCTCCACCGGCCGCAGAGTCAGTTCTCTTCACAAAGTTTTCCTCACCAGTCTTTTCCCAGGCACCAGCCCACCCTGCTGCCGCCTGTACCCAGCGATCAAGGAGGGTGGCTGCCGCTGCAACTTTTGCGTTTGCCCTTTAAATGTCTTTTTGCATCCCCAGCCACTTGTCTCTGGCAGAGAGTGCCCCTAAGCTTTTTGGGGTTGCGTTTTGTCTGTATTTTCTCTGCTTTAGCGGCTGTAGTTTAGGGGTTCCTGTTTATGATTCAGACCCCGTTCTTCCCGGGGGGACTCTAACTGGCTGTTTCAATGTCCCTCTGGTGCCAGGGCCCGTGCGCACCCAGCCCACCCTCTCGAGCCTCCACCGCAATTCTCACCCGTTGGGATGTGTGAGAGTCGAATCCGCTGTCCGCGGCACCAAGGCTCCTCTCCCACTATCGCTCCACTGCTTTCCAGGTGATTACTGCATTATTTAGTTGCAATTCCAGTTTGGTTTTGAGAGGAGGTCAGTGTGACTCCCTTTCACTCCTCCGCCATCTTTTTTTCCTCCCATGTCTTTCTGTCTTGATTTGTCATTTCTTTGTATTGAGGCTAAGAAAATCAATAGATAAAATTATTTAGAAATACTACAGATAGAGTAATATATATTACTCTATTATTAGACACAATAGTTATATATAAGTAGCCCTGGTCAGGTAGTTCAGTTAGTTAGAGTGTTGTCTGGAAATGCCAATCATTTCCAAGTTTGTGGGTTCAGTATCTGGATTGGTCACATACAATAATAACCAATGAATGCATAAATAAGTGGAACAACAAATTAGTGTTTTTTTTTCTCTCTCTCTCTCTCTCTGTCTTTTCCTTTCTCTCTCCTGTCCTCTCTTTCTCTAAAATCAATAAATAAAATAGTTTTCATAGGAAGATCTTAGGCCTTGTTTATTTGGGAAAATGACAAAATGTTAACTGTTAAAGAGCCTTTCAAGCAATACTGAAAAAAGGGTTAGCACCAGACTGAGGTATTGACACTCTCAAAGCTAAGGCAGCTGAAGTAACTGTAAGAGGTTTGTGCTGGAGTGGGGCTGCAAAAATCAGGGACATGAAACTGAGCACTAAGAAATAAACCCACACGTAAGAAATGTTATGAGGCGTGCTGTTTGGTTAATCCAACAAAATGCTGCGTCCTTGTCTCTTCCCAGTAAAATATATTACGCAGGAATTAAAATGAAAGTAATAAAAATGCTAAGATAAGATCATTGCAAAGTTATATTCAGTCTTGGAGAAGGAAAGACTTATATGTCAAAACCTATGAAGTAAATTTGAAAAGTTGTGTCACAAAAAATATGCAAGTGGCCAATAAACATGGAAAAATGCTTAATTTCATTGATAATATTAAAAATAAAATTTAAAAATTATGTTTATATATTTTTAACCAATGAAGTAGGTTAAATTGGCTTTATTATGTAAATGATTGCTGCATTGGTGGTAGGATTAAATATTTGTATATTTTTGATGAGGCAATTTGATTATGTCAAAATATGCATATTTATACACTTTGACCAGCATGTTCACTTTTTGGAAACCGTACTTACAGATAGACTTGTACAAATATGCCAAGATAAATTTTAAATATATTCATCACAACATTGTTTGTAATGACCTAAACATATGTATAATATTATATTCATAATCTGTTATATTATTAATTATTAAATATAGATTGGAGACTAAGTAAATAAATCACAGGACATGTATGCTGTGGATTAATATAACAGTGCCAACAAAGAAATTTAAATAAAGCTTTAAGTTCCAATATCAAGGATGTTCAGGACATAATAACTAAAAACCAGAAGTTGTTAAATGTAAGAATCATATAGTTAGTAGGATCATATTTGTGTAAAAAAAGTAAATGGATGCAAACATGAATGTGTGAGAAGAATGTCTGAAAAATGATAAAAAGAACTGTTAACAGGGGTTTATCACTGCCATCTAAGTTACATGGGAGAGCATAAAGTGGAGCGAGTAGGGGAAAGGGACAGTCGTATTTTTCTCTTATGTGTGATTTAAAACTTATTTGAAAAAGTGTATTGAGTTGTCATGGATTACTTCCTCTAAAAAAAAACAAATGTCTATCAGATTACTACAAAAGGATATTTACCTATTATAAAAAAAGGCAATTTACCCATTGTAAAAAAGAAGTAGAAAAATTAACAAACCAAGAAATACACATGTGTTAAATCTTGTCATGAATCAAATAATGAAATTGTTGGTCTAATTGACTATCACTAAGAAATTAGTCATTGAAACCAGAAATTACAATTCAAATGTCTGACAAGGCCAGGAAAGTAATACAAATAATGTAGATCCAGCGAGTTATAAATACAGATAATCTGCCAAGTTATTCATCAACATCTTATAACATGAATTATAAGGTATATTTTAAATTTTAAATTAAAAATGCATATTTTATATACAAAATTTGCATCAAAATTTGATGGTCATGAACTAGTTAAAGAATCTTAAGATTAGTAATTTGGGAGCCTTATTCATTCCATCAATCAGGAAATAATGTCTTGATCTGACATTAAGGAAATGAAAATAGAATTAGCTGAGGTCATTGTTAAAATGCAAATTCCTGGAAGGGTTGGAATGTATTTTTAACAAGCGTCTTTATTCATTAACATTATCAGATGAGTTTAGGATATATGATTTACCCAGAGTTTGACTGATTTTTAAGAAGATTTAAATAAAATTTTAAAAAGAACAATTTTTCCTTTGATGATATTCAAAAGAATATCTTACAGACCCACAGAGTTTTTTCAAAATGTAAAGGTAATAAAAAAGTTTGAGCTGTAAAAAGAACTAGAAATAACTTCCAAATATTGCTGCTTTGTGGCGAATATTAAGAATTTCTATTTATACCAAAATATTTTATTATCAGAGTACACTTTTCAAATGTGTTGAAGATGTTCATTCATAAATTCAATATAGTAATCATACTGAATTTATGACTTGGCACCACTTGCTTCAATTGTGTTTATATTAATGTCCTTGAAAATGTATTAATTTTAATTCTTTTTTTAAAATTTTATTTTAATTTATTTTTTCAAATACATTTGTCTCTGCCTACCCCCCACCACTTTCCTTTGCCCCCTCCCTCCTTCCCTCCCTCAGCTGTTCCCCTTTGGTTTTGTCCATGAGTCCTTGCTATATGCTCCTTGACTTCCCCCTTCCCTTCCTTTTCCCCGCTCCTCCTCCCTCCTTCCCTCTTGTCTCTGTTGATTTCTTTTCCTTTCAGTGTTGCTAGTCTTATTTTCCTTGCATCTTTGTATTGTTGGTTAGGTTCCACTTATAGGTGAGATCATATGGTATTTGTCTTTCGCCCCCTGGTTTATTTCGCTTAGCATAATGCTCTCCAGTTCCATCCATGCTGTCGCGAAGTATAGTAGTTCTTTTTTCTTTCTGTTAATGTGTTAATTTTAATTCTTAAAGAATTGTTTCTCAGTTTTGTTCTGTTGTCTAAATTTTAACATGGTAATATTTCATAATTTTCTTTAGTAATATATATATATTTTAAAATAGCTAAATATAATCAAAGTGAAGTGATTGGAAGAAGTAAAGAAGGTTATGTTAGGGAGGTATAATATGTAAAGTATATATTTAAATTGTTAGCTGAATTTCTTTATATTCACAACTTTGTTTGCCTAAAGATACTTGCTTAATAGCAAGGAATAGAACCAGGTGTACCTCTTCAAGTTCTTCACTTTCCAACTACCTGTATGTCTTCATCTTGGGACAACTATTGCTGGGAACAGGAGGAACTCCTCTCTATACCCTGGGAACAGCCTTTCTTGATGATTCTGTGCCCACACACCAGTCTTCTCTTTATATAGGTAAGTTTGCTCTGTAATATAAATGAATATCATTTCATTTTATTGCTTGTTTACTTTATAAGTCTAACATATACTTATTTTAAAAGTTAGCTATAATTTCATAAACATTTATATGAGATACATGCAATATTACTTTTTTTGTTTTATTTTTCACTGACATAGCATGTCCTTAACTTGAGTGCATGTAAGAGTCTGGTTGAATGTCCTGCTCTATTTCTTGTTCTGGGAATGCCTGCCTTCCTAAGAAGTGCCATCCAAGTGGTAGACATTCTAGATTGCTTGAATTCCAGCCAATTTACACAGGGTGCGGAGATTGAGCTATGCAATTTTTTGTGACTCACTACATCCTATTGACTAAAGTCAACAAAAGAAACCACAAGATAGTGCAAAGAAACTCGGTGGATTTTTCCATTTCAGATTAACATTTTTGATATATGACTTGATTTTTTTCCTTTGTAAGTTTTTGAGAGCATAAGTTTCTCTTAAATTCCTTCCCTGATGTTCTACAAGGTAGAGCCAACTAGACTATCCATGGCCCTCAGCCAATTGATGTACTATTTGTTTATTCATGTGTTTTCACTTTATCAACTTACTATTCTAACACAGGGGATTGTCTTAGTCCATTTGGACTGCTATCATAGAATACTATAGACTGGTTGGCTGGTAGACTGGTTTCTGTTGTTGTTACAAACAACAGAAATTTATTTTTTAGAGTCCTGGAGTTTGGGAAGCCCAAGATCAGGGTGCCCTCAAATTCAGAGTTTGGTGAGGGCTTAATTTATAAAAATTAAAAAGTTGTATATGGTCAAATTTTAAAATATCTGAGATAAATAAGGTCATTTTAATTGTGCTGCAAGTAAAAATGGGGGATTCATTAAAACTGGATGTTTAAATTGATCGCTTGCTTTTAAGAAACGGATTGATGATGAGATCCAAGTTTTTATCAGTCGCTATAGTACAAAATAAAGAATGTTTTTGGAGTGCGTGCAAAGTGGAAAAGGTTTCTCATTTCACATTGTTTTCATAAGAATTGTAAACAATAATTACTATCACCATCCATAAAGGATAATAGTTGATGTACTACCCTTGCCACCAGTTAACGACATAATCCTCCATGGATTTATAGTTATGGATTTATTGCAATTATTATTATAATCTAATAACTTTTACATTGAATTATGTACTTTGAGGTCTTGGATTTTATAGGTGATACCATTGAAATGGAGTTTTTTTGGGAAAATATGTGCAATTTTCATGTAATTCTAATTGTTTCAATTTTTCTACAGTACAATATTTGTGTTTCTTCACTATTGTTAGACATTCAAAGCATAGTTGTACAGATGACCATTTTCCATGTCTTTGTCCTTCTTCTAGGAATTGGCTATTCTATGTCAATATTAGGCCCTGCTATTGGCTATGTGTTGGGAGGACAGCTGTTAACCTTGTACATTGATGTTGGTTTGGGAAAAAGGCAAGGCAATATCTATTTTTCTTTTATTCAAATTTATTTTATTATAATGTTAACATCATAGACAGAACACCTTCATTGCATGAGAAATTTTTCAGGAAACAAAACTGAATACACAACATTTTTATATAATATTTTGGTTGCATTGTTTCATGAGTTAATGTTATACAATCTTTTAATATAAAACTTTAATAATTCATAAATAATGATGTTTAATAACGACCTGGTTAAATTTTTCAAAATAGATTTACAAGACCCCACGCATTATTCAAAAGAAGAATTTAATCAAAATTAGTTATGCTTTTAGTAGATTTAGCTGGAGGTAGATAGATAGCTTGAAGAGTCAAGAGTCTATGATTCTCAGATGAAATTTTGTAGTAGCTCTGATGATGTCTTGGAGATCACCATTGTGCAGTTTTAATAACTGGGACAATGGAGAATGGTAATAAGCAATGTTTATTTATCTCATACCATGTTCTGAAACATAGGTTGTATGTATTATCTTATTTTGCATGCCACTTGTACTCAATAATTTTATAAGACAGTTGATACATATAGGTAGGTAAGTGGCCAAGACATGAATCGAAGTAGATCTCTTTGACTCCAAAATCCCCCTCTTAACCACTGTTACTTCCTTTCCTGAACTGAGAAATTAGTGACCTTTGAGGCCATATTTTCTCACTTTACCCCTGGGCATTATAACTATACCATCCTTCCCATGACTGTGAGCAATAAATATGTGATCGTGGGCATATGTACTCTGAGCTGCTAATCCTAGGTTAATCTTTTAGAGACTATATGAAAAGGTGTCAGAGGAAGCTCTTGAAGCAGAGAGCTGGATTTTAAGAAAGGACATTTTAATTTTAGTGGAAGAAAATTCTATAAATTGTGAGAGTGTTGTGTTTTGGGGGAGAACCTATTGATAAAACATATGAAAACCATTATTAAAAAATTAACGTCACTCTAAGAAGACTATTATATTTAAATGAATGCCATGTTTGAAGCACAGTGTATGGACTTTTAATATAGATCAGTGATATGCTGTGAGATGTATTTAATATAGCAGAGAAGGAAAACTTAGGCAAAGTTAGATAAAGGATGTTCAGAAATTTAATGTATGCTTTCATATATTTAACATACTTATATTTACTATTAATATTTGAAACTTTTGTGTCTTATTTGCCATTATGAAATACATTGAATACAACTCAATGCTATCATTTATTGTAAACCACTACTCATAGCTATCATTTATGCCTCTTATCTGTTGTCTGATTCATTAAAATGGCTCCACATAAAATATAGATATTATAACAGTATTCCTCTATAAATGCACCAGAATTATAAAGTGTATAATTATCATAACTGAGTTTTAATTAATAAGATTGATTTGACTTTGACCTTTTGTTTTTCTATCATACAGCACTGATATCACTGAGGACGATCCACGATGGCTGGGGGCGTGGTGGATTGGTTTTCTTATGGCTTGGTTCTTTGCTTGGTCTTTGATAGTGCCTTTTTCTTGCTTTCCAAAACATTTACCAGGTAAAAAAATGTTTTCTTTAAAACCAGAGTGTTTTATTCCAATTCTAGGGTTTTATTCCAATTCTAGTGTTTATTCCAACAAAGTGTTGCTTTCTATGTAATTGGTAAGAACCCAAGAAATTCATTGTTTGTTTTATGAAAGTCTAAGTTGTGTGTCTATGCAAACATTTGAATAGATGTCTCTGTTTTAGAAAATATTGGGTAGCAATCTTAATTTTCATGGTTTCCTTTACTTTCAATTAGGAATCAGTAAAAGTGTACTTATTCAGCTCCTTCCTATATACTTATTAAATGTGTTTCTTATGTGTTATCTGAAATCCTGCTTTATGTGTCGATGTAAGATACAATATCAGCCTTGGCTGGTGTGACTCAATGGATTGGGTGCTAGCCTGTGAACCAAAGGGTTGTTGGTTCCATTCCCAGTCAGGGCATATGCCTGGGTTGTGGGCCAGGTCCCCAGTGCGGGTGCACAAGAGGCAACCACACATTGTTGTTTCTCTCCCTCTCTTTCTCCATCCCTTCTCCTCTCTAAAAGTAAATAAATAAAATCTTTAAAATTTTTTTGAGGATACAATATCTTTTAAACTATTAGTTTTATTCAGTTACTCACTAACTTTGTCAGCAAATCTGCCTTAAATCATTGATGTTAATTATTTGTTGTTGGAAGTGCAAGCACTTTTTTTTCAATTGTCACCAACTCATCTTCATTATATATCAATACTACACAGTTCAAAAGAGAAAAGATTAGTAGAAGAGAATATCCATTTCTCTCTTTCTGAGATTCTGCTTCTGTTTAATCATGTAATTCAAACATATATATATATACATATATATATGTATTTTTCTCTAGGCTTAAGGTCTGTCATTGCTTTTATTATATAATTATCATTTGGAAATGGGCAATGAAAAGTTGGCAGAATCGAAGTAGGTGGACCCATTGATTTTTTTTCCTCTTCTGGACCATCCCACTTATAATTCTACACATTGACTGTTTTCTCAGACTTACTCAACATACCATTATTAAAGACCAAAGGGACCAAGTAATAGATGGTAAATATCGTTTCATTTGAAAAATATGTTAGAATTAAAGAGAGTAAAGGAACAAAAAGCCTCAAACATATTTTATTTAATGTATAAAGAATGAGAAAGAGAAGGATTTGAATGAAAGTAAACAATTTTTAGAAATTTTACAAAAAGAGAATAAATATATGATTGGAGAAAAATTGTTTCGTCGTAAGTTTTAGATAGGTTGGAACTTCCTTAGTTAATGGTAGTGATATTAGATCTTAGGACAGCTAGTTTGCAGACATGGATATTCATACAGTTTTGTTTTGTTTTTTTTTACAAAGAGAGGAACTGGCTTCTTATATTTGGAAGTTATATACTTGTAGAAATGTGTGTCAATTAAAAAGAAAGTATTTTTAGAAATGAGAAATGAAGTGATAGGGCAAGTACATTTTCTATTTCTTTAGGTACAGCAAAAATTCAAGATGGAAAAGCTTCCCAGACTCATCAGAATAATAGTTCCTTAGAATATACAGATGAAAATTTTGGAAAAAAATTTAAAGATTTTCCAGCTGCTCTAAAGGTAAGAATAACATTGTTCACACACCCTCACCCCTCACACATACATATGTTGATACGTGTATACACTGCATATATACATAAGCACATACAGACATATACAAATATTTATATAATGCATTACTGTTTGCTTATTTACTATTATTATAGCTTTTATAAACAACTCTTCAGATTTAATTTTATTGCACTTTGAGTAAATGAAAACTATTTCAGAGTAGAATGGTTGAAAGACAATGAATTATCTTATTGGCAATATCAATATTCAGTGGTTCCTCATTAGAACTATAGCCCGTTATTCCATGCTTTTTCCTTTATGTAATGGATAGATCAGTTGTCACTGGATTGTAAATATGTATTTGAGAATGCCAAACTAATGTGTTTCTCTTGTGAAAGAAGTGGCAGTTAGTGGTTACTTGGTTTGAATTTGAGGTTAAAGAAACAAAAGTGTTATGGTCTGTTCTGTTGAACTCAGTAGAAAAGCATTTTATTTAGCATCTTAAAAGTTTTTCACATAAAGGAGTTTATAATTTTACCTTTTTGAGATCTGAAATTATTTGCTTTTCCTTAGATTGTCTGGCTCTGACTTCTAAGTCTCTTATCTTGCCTCTTTGTGACCCTTGTGTTTATGTGTTATGGTTGGTTTTATAAAACTTTTGTGCCTTTAATATTCTAGGAATATATTTTGGTTTTCACTTTATGGTTAAATATATTGAGATAATGAATTGCTATACTCCTTTCTGTCTAGCAACATAGACACCTTTTTAAAAATTACTTAAGTCTATGCCTGTGTAACGTTCATAAGTCCTGAGTCCTTTACTCATGGAACGACACTACAAGTTAGATGCTTAAAAACCATTCTCATATATGCTCATAATCAAGTTGTTATGTACTGGACACAGGAAATCAGAGCACAATAAAAAAATCAAATAAGAGGCAGATTTACTGTATGGAGGTTTCCAGTAAGACCAGGGAAGGTAGGCTTTCCAAGTGGGTTTTTTTACCTCCCTCTTCCGCTCCCTTACACATGACAAAAGCACACTCATCCTGCTGATGGACCATTTGTCAGTCCTCTAGGTGCTTCACAGATAATTACTCTCAACTTTCTCTATATAAAGCTATTTAACCTATATTTATACTTTCATGCTAGAGGAAAAGCTGAAATGTTATAGATAATTATATGGTGTTTATTGAAAATTGCCGTTCTGAGGCTGTTTTGCTGTTTGATCACAGTTATTCATTTGGTAAACTGTATTTTTCCTTTAGAATTTGATGAGGAACACTGTCTTTATGTGTTTAGTCATATCAACTTCTTCAGAAGCCCTAGTTAGTACTGGATTTGCTACATTTTTACCTAAATTTATAGAAAATCAATTTGGATTGTCGTCCAGCTTTGCAGCTACACTTGGAGGTAAAACATTTCCTTTGTTTTAATGTAATCTAACAATTTTACTGTACCATATTAAATGTTTAACAGAATAGCATATAATTTTGAGTAGGCAAGTCCTTGAAATTTAAACTTTATACTGATTTTGATAAAAGTTTCTGATTTTTATGACATGAAACGATCTTTTTTGTGAACTTGAATGATACAGAGGTTATATAGCTCTATAGCTATACAGCTAAAAAGAATATACATTAGTGTTAATATGCAATACATTAATTTTATTTATTTCTTAATGTAACTACTAAGTCATTTATTCATATGCGTCTAAATCACAAGTGCTTTCATATGTTAAAACCAATTTGTTGCTTGTTTTTGATGCTTTCTAATTTTTGGTGTGAGTTACTGAGGGTATTTGTACGTTCCCTCACTGTGTCTTCTTTCTCATTAGGCGCTGTTTTAATTCCTGGAGCCGCTCTTGGTCAGATTTTAGGTGGTGTTCTTGTTTCGAAATTCAAAATGATGTGTAAAAACACAATGAAGTTTGCTTTGCTCACATCTTTAATCGCACTCATGCTGAGTTTTGTATTTGTTTATGCCAGCTGTGAAAATGAGCCATTTGCTGGTGTGTCTGAATCATATAATGGGTAAATATATTTCTATGCTTTTTGAAATTAATATCAGAATAATGAACTGTGTGTGTATTTCCAAGTATATGATAAATTGATGAGAGATTCTCTGTTTTTTTAAATTGGAAGCCTTTTTCCTATGTCAGAATAGGTACTTCTTATTTTAGTTTAAATAATTGACATCTTATTAAAAGTTAGGTATGTATTCAGAGAACGATTATTCTGTACTGATACTATGCTCAGGGATATAAAGATTTAATACAGCAGAATTTTTGCCCTGAAGGGATTGACATCTTAGGGAGAATTTCACATTATATGTTCCTATTGATTTAAATTCTAAAAAATGGAGATGCCTCTTTATGGTGAAAATTCTCATATTAAGTGGGTTGAAAATGGGCTAGGAAAGATATTAAAATGAAGCTAGTCCTAGGTGATACTAATCACTGTTCACTGTTGTATCTACTTTAGGAAGTTCATGTTTATTGTAAAGACATAAATATCTCTTATCTTTCTGCTCTATAAACATGTTTCAACCTTTAACTGGTTTGACCATTTTATCTCTCTTTGCCTTGTTTGTTTTGCTCTGCAATCCTAAGCCATGAGCAGCAGTTCAGGCAGGAGGGTGCATCACAGTGTATTTTATAGCCTGCAGTGCTGCTTTAATATTAATTTCACTACATATGTTTGAGGCTGTTGGGGAGACCGTACTCCAGGTCAGGAACTCCATAATTTTGTATGCTGTGGCACTCAGATAACCTAATTAACATGTACTTGGGAAAAGTTTGCCATTAACAGTTACGTGATTTGTAGCTGCTGTTCATGTCTGTTATTGTTTTACATAAATAAGATGCTGAGCATTCTAAAGCCATGTTTAGTTCAGCTCTCATACATTTATTTAGCATTTGTCAACTGCTTCCTCTGGCAGAACTTTATGGCAAAAATCTATACTCTAAAGGAGTTTTCATCATAGAAGGAGAGACTGGGAAATAAAATAGTGAATGAACAATGCATCAGGTAATGAGAGTTATACAAAAGGCTATGAAATTCAAAAAGAGAGCTTTTAAGTTTCCTCTGATTAGATTCAGGAAAGGCTTTATGGCATAATAGAAAAATGGGTATTAAATGTCCTTCATGGATGCAAAGAGCTTTGAGAGAGAAAGATTTTAGAAGAGGGAAAGGTAGAGGGAATATGTTAAGCCAATAAAAGTTAGAAAGTGAAGGCCAGGTTTAGGGACCTGTTTGAATGGACTTGGGTCATGTTTCTGGAAATAGTAGAAAAATACCTGGAAATATTGAAAGGTGCTAAAGGTAAGTTGGGCAGATATGACTTTTGCACCCAAACCTATCTCAAGAACCCACCTTTTTTTGGTATCTTTCTTTTAGAGGAACAAAAAGGTCTGGAGAGTTTATCACCTTGACAGCTAAATGATGTAGGTGTGAATACTTTTGGCATTTTCTACCTAAAACAGGAGTTATTATCAGATGAGCTCTCCTTAGTCTAATCACAGGGAGAAAGGCAAGGGAGTTGTTATCAGTTTGAGGCACATGTGGGGATTGGTCATCAAGAGATACCAAGAGCTGGAATATAGAGATAGTGCTTAATGTATACATTGTTGGTGGTGGAAAAAATAAAACTGAAAGTGAATGTACATGCATACACATGCACATTAACATGTATGTATGTGTAAATATAGATACAGATAGATCTGGATGTCACAGAGATGTGATATTGCTGGATCATTGTTTTTCCTATGACCCAAATTCTTATTTTTAGCTCTGTAGTCTGTATTTTAAAAGGTCCATATTATGGACAGCTTAGTCAAAATACTCTCATCCAAGAGACATGTATATGGTAAGAACAAACGAAGAATTCAAATTAATACCTTATTAGTGCGTGGGAGAAAGAAGAGGAGGCTGTGAAAAGAGGATGCAAAGACTTATTGTACCCTCTACTAGTGGTGCGACGAGTCTTTGCCCTTTGCCATGTATGCACTGGTGGATTAAGAAGAGCTTTTGCATCTGTGAGTGAATGAATTAAGCTTTTGATAACTTCTTTTAAAATCCTATTTAATACGATATCCAATTGATCAATAATACTGATTATTTCAGGAGATATTTTTAATATTCATAGTATTTTAAAGAATTTCTTATTAAGTGTTTCATATGAGCAAAGCACTAAATTCAATTGAAAGGTGACTGTTCATATTTCTGGAAATCTATTTTATTAAAATTTCTCATTGTTCTTATATTTCCCAGACAATCTATAGGAATTTTGGGTCTGTTTTGGTAATCCAAATTTTTTCTCTATCTGGCCTATAGCTGGACTTTCATTGCTTATCTAAACTAGTTCCTTAAAGAGTCATATCTGTCAAGCTGTTGCAATAGGTTTAGAGAGGTCTTTGCTTATTATAGAGGCATAATTATAGAATAATCCTTTGGATTCAAGTAAGAAATTAGCATTAAAATTCTACTGTTTGTGATAAACTGTTTCTCATATATACACATATGTGTATATATACATATGTACATATTTTTAAATATTCCAAATTTTTGAAATTTAAAATATTTTATTTATTTAAAATAATATTTATATATTAAGGCAATTTAATAGACTTCAAGTGTAGGTTAGTTTTCTAACAATAGTTTCCTCTTTATCTCATGAAGTAAAGCTTTATAAAATATATAGGTTGAAGTGACTGACCCTTGGTAATAAGGAATATATGCCATATTTTCTTGTTTCTACTGCAGTTGGCAGTATACTGCCTTAAATTTTCATATTCTCAGTAATCATCAATAATATAAGGATTATATATTGAAAATTTAAATTTAAAATTTTGTGTAGTGGCTATTTCTAGAGTTTCAAGCATAGTTTTTCTCTATTCCCTTTATTTCTATTTCTGTATTTAAACCAGTTGTTGGCAGACTGACTGTAGAGCTTCTTTCTGTGAGTAGAATCATGCTTGCGAAAGAAATCTAGCAGAAGTCTGGAAGAGATTAGATACAGCCATCCCCAACCTTTTTGTCACCAGGGACCGGTTTCGTGGAAGACAATTTTTCCACGGATGGGTGGAGGGAGGGTGGTTTGGGGAAGATTCAAGCGCATTATATTCATGCTCTCCTCCTGCTGTGCGCTCAGGTTCCTAACAGGCCCCACCGATACTGGTCTGCGGGCAGGAGTTGGGGACCCCTGGAAGCAGAGGAGTTTCTAGGTAGATTGACAAATTACTTAAAATTTACTCTTTGACCACCCTTTCCTTCAAACTCCCCACTGACTGGTTTCCAATTTGTTTTCTACTCCGTAATCTGTTTATGAACTTCTAGTTCTCTGCCTACTCCTTAAATGTCGTTTTCCAACATAGCGATTATTACTTTGTAATACTTAAAAAAAAAATCACTCATTTACTGTTTTTGACACCCAAGGAAAGATAGTTTGATTGTTGAAGATTTTTATCCCTCATTCTCTTCTTTCTTTCCTTCCTTATCTTCCCCTTTCTTTCCCTTTCTCTATCTCTGCCACTTTATTTCTTTTAACCACATTCCCACCACTTTGTATCTAGCATGTAATTTGCACTCACTGTGTACTCATGAAATAAATGAATGTCCAAGACCTCTGCACTCTTTTCATGCTACACTGTTTGTGTAGAGGATCTTATCATTCTCATGGTTTCAGCTACATGTATATGCAAATGGGTATTAAGAGGTCTGCCTCTAGATTTCTTCACCAAATTGGAAACTCTTAATTTCAACATGAATAAAACTAAACATCTCTCTCCCCAAAACTAGTTCTCTTCCAAAATGCCAAGTTAGACACTAGGAGTCACTCTTGACTCTTCCATTCTGAATATGGATTCAATCACGCAAACACAAAATCTTACTGACTCTATATCTAAAATATTTCTCAAATCTGTTTGCTTTAACCAAGCGCTCTATTTTAGTTCTCTTATATGTTATCATACCTAATTGTCTGGGGTATTATAACTGGCCTCCTTCCCTAAAATTCATACCCTGTATAACTCCTAGGATTATTTTTTTTCAATGTGCTTTTGACAGTGTCACTTTCCAGTCTAAAAATACTTCGATTCCCTTTTCAAAATAGGGTAAAGCTCATTGTTTTTAACAAGGCTCATCAGGCCCTCAATAATGTGACCCTTGACTCCTCTCCACCTACATTTTTTGTCACTCTCTGCTTCAGGTATCATTCATATTTTTCTGTATCAGGTGATATTCCTCAGCTTTATGCCTTTGTATGAGCTTCTCTGAAGTACCTTCACCTTCTCTATTTACCCAGCTAACTCTTATTTATTCTTTAAAACTCATCTCAGGTAGTCACTCTTATCTAAATGATGGCTTGTTTTAAATGTTATTCCCCAGTGCTTCTAAAATATACTTTGCATATATTTATGGCCACACTCACCAGAGTGCATATAATTATGTGCCCATCTCTACTCCTAGATTGAAATCTTTGAGGACAGTGAATATCTCACTCAGTTTTGTGTTCCCAATAGCTAGCATAGGTACAGCACTTGCTCAATATGTATTGGCTGAATTGCAAATAAGTAAGGGATTGGAGAAGTGTCTTTGCTTAGGGCAACCTTTATATTATCAAAGGTGTTGCTTCCTTTTAAGAGGCTGCAGGGAAGAGCACTGGGCCTGGGAACCAGGAGCATTATATTTGGCAGACAAAGAAAAATGCTAAATTAATCCCTCTGGGCCTCAGTTTTGCTGTTGATAAAATGAATATGTTGAACATGATTTTATTCATCCTTCTGGGTTTAAAATTTTCCTTGCACTCCTGGAAAATTAGGCAATATCTGGAGATATTTAAGTTGTCACAACTGAAGGGATGCTATTGGCATCAAGTGGCAGTGGCCATGGATGCTGCTAAACATCCTAAAGTCCCCAGAACCTGCATCCCAAATCCCCCCTACTAAAAAGTTTTCTGGTATCAAATGAGAAACTATTTTTGCTTTCTCTGCCTATTTTACTTATTACTGACAGAACAACAATATAGCTATTGTTTCTACTGTCTCTCTCTTCCATAAGAAGTTAAGTGCTAGGTGAAAAGACAGTCATTTATTTTATTCATTCAGTAATTATATATAGGCTGAGTCAGTGAATAAATGACTAAATGGAAAGATATAACAATGCTTCTGAACTGTTCATTAAATGTGATAATATAGATGATTTGCCCATCTTTCATTTCCTGTTGACAGGACAGGAGACCTGGGAAACTTGACCACCCTTTGTAATGCCAATTGTAACTGCATGCGATCACATTATTATCCTGTTTGTGGCAGAGATGGAATCCAATACTTTTCTCCCTGCTTTGCAGGTTGTAAAAATTCTGTTTCAAAAAGACGGCCAGAGGTAACTTGTGTCTGCTACTTTACCTTAATGAGACAATATGTTGGTGTATTTACGGATGGCCTTCTCAGTCTCTCTCATAGAGTACCATAGTACCTATTCCTTTCTTCCTGGCCCACCTCCTCCACTCAGAAGCCAGGCATAAAGTCTCAGTCATGTCAGATGAATAAGCTTCAGAGATCTGCTGTACTACCTTGTACCTGTAGTCAACAATTATGTATTATACACTTATGATTCATTAAAAGGGTAGATCTCATGTAAAGTGTTTTTACCTTAAAAAGACAAAAACAAAACCATAAAACCTGACCAGTCCAACAGAAAAAGAGTTTTCTTTCATGTCACAGATGCAATTATCAAAAAATTAACTTGGCAGTTACATCTTTGTAACATTATTTTTATTAAATATTATTTACGATTTTGCATTGCTTTATTTTCTCAACTATATACTTCCCTTCAAGTCAGGGAATTTTTCTGTCCTTCTGAACTACAATGAATACAGTAGAAATATCATAAATATTTATTGCTTTTATTTGATGCACCATGGATCCATTAAAAAATACCCAAACTGTTCATTCATTCTCCAGTACAAATTTACTTTTAATTCTGGATTAGAACGCATGTCAGTTTACTGAGATATGTTTTTTTTTCAAATACAGTTAAATAGTTTTAAGAGAATCCAATAGAATTTTATGGTACTATACCTGCAATCTGAGGATTTTATTTCAGCTAAATTTAAGGACTTTGGGAATAGATAATATTCATATTACTAATACTATATAATATCTTAGGCATTAATAAATAATGTGATAACACTAAAAAGTGCTGAGGGAAATATACAAGACCACAATGAATAAGATGACAAAACAGCACAATCTTAAATATTTGAAATATGGACTAGTGAAATACCATTCCTTTTTCTAAAGACAAACTTAACATTGCAAGAAAAGATTTCTGTATAAATAAGGAGAAATAATTATTTGAAATAATCTATAAAATTACTTCAGATTTCTGCTAAAACTAATATAGAGGTGTGTATATGTGTGTGGTTATACACATATGTTCATATGTACACACATAAATATATGTTTGTGCATATATATGCATATCTTTAATTAAATTTTGCAGACAATAAATACATTAAACATTTATCTCAACAGATTAGTATTTGATCTTCCTACTGGGGGTAACCCAGAATGTGAAAAACAGTGCACATTTTCTTTTCATATTACCTGGCTTACAGATTTTAAAATCATCATCTAAGAACATTGAAAAGTATGTCAAAAAGAAAAAAAGTATGACGTTGAGTCATAGTAGACCTGATAGACATGACTAAGTGTACTTTTAATCCTTAGAATAAAACTAACTAGATCACAACCATGACATGCCTATGAAAATCAATAAACGACATTAGGAATATTTTAAAATCCCCAACCTAGGGTTAGCATACCTTTAAATCAATGGACATGCAGGATTGCTTCAGTTTCAGAATAGGTTTAGAAAATTGGATGTTTGTGTCAGTAATAAAGAGCATGATGTATATCATAGAATAGAACTCAGTAAGTGCTATTAATTAACATTAATTAGAAGATTATGACATGGAAGTTAAGTTATTGAAAGGGTTTTATTTACATGTAAAATTTATACATATAAATATTATCCTGCACACGAAAACCAAAAATAACTGAGTAAATAATAAAAAGCATACTTGAAATGGTATTGGTTATTTTGATATAAATTTGATATTGGTATTTATATTTTTTACCAAATACTATAATTGCCATTTTAAACATTAAATTGTCTTCTAGGGGTTGTTTAGGAAAAGCAAGTTGTTTTGATTTCAAAATTTTCTATCTGTCCTCTTTTTTTAATGTCCAACTATTCCATATTAACAACTCAATTTTTCTAAGGATTTTTTCCCCTATAGAATATTTCAAATAGGCACATGCATTGATGATAATGTAATAAATACCTACACACATTTCTTTACAGAAGTATTAGTATTATATTTCACACTAGTGACCCGAACTACAAAAAACAGATGCTGACTAACAGCAACTATACTTAGGAAAATGTATACTTTTTTATGTAAGAGAGTTGTAAAGTTTCATCATGAGAGAAAAAAACTATTCTCAGTTTTCCTTCTAAAAATGTTCAAAGGCTACATTACTTTATTAGTTGATATATCTGATTGCTGAGTATAAAATAATCTTTTTTGGAGGTGTCATCTTCATGTTTGGGTGTCCTGAATCAGTACCAGTGACCCTTGAATACCTTTAGCACTCAAAAAAGATCTCTGGTTTCCAAACAAGAAAAACACAACTTCTCTGGCTGTACTCTGACTTTATGGAGGCTTTAAACATGTAAAAAGGATGAAGTTAAGATATAAAAAGCCTTCAAAAAATAATGTTGCCTGGACCTGGCTGGTGTGGCTCAGTGGGTTGTGTGTCAGCCTGAGAACCAAAGGGTCGCTGGTTGGATTTCCAGTGTAGGGCACATACCTAGATTGTGGGCCAGATCCCCAGTAGGGGGCGTGCAAGAGGCAATCACACATTGATGTTTCTTTCCTTTTTTTTTCCCCCTACCTTCCCCTCTCTAAAAATAAATAAGTAAAACCTTAGAAAAAATAATGCAGCCTACCTTTTAAAATATCTTAATTTTTTCATACAAAAGTAATACTTGTGATTTTTTGACATGTTGCCTTCCAACATTTCATATTCCTATTTTATATGTATATGTGCTTATATATATAAATTAAATATATAATATGTTATTTATATATAAAATAACCTTCCTGATAATGTAATAACCTCTAGTTTTTGACTGTCATAAATGTGCCATCATAAGGGGGAGACAGTTTACTTTTGGTAAAGTAATTCATGAAAGTTAAAAAACTATAGTAAAAAGGTTTAGTTGAAAGCAGCATTTCCTCCTCCAACACTTGTGACATATTAGTTAAGTTTACTGAATCACTTGTTAAAATTATAGTATTTATTCATTTAAATTAGTGCAATGGAGAGATTGTCAGTATGCATGCTTTTTTTTTTTTTTTGATGTCCTATAATGGAAAAAAAGGTTAGCAGGAAAATTATTTGAACAATTATGATCAATTCAAAGCAGTCTAGAATGCATGCGATAGCATAATTGTTAGATTCTTGTCAATTTGTTTTGTAAGTCCTGAACCAACAATAGGTTACAAGCTGAAGTAATGGACACAAATGTCAAACACAGAGAATTCATTCCACTTCTTGAATATGGCTGCCCATTTTCCTTGGCTTAATTTTTTCAGGTTAATTACTCTTTCTCGGCATCCTTTGTTGTATATGTATTACAACTGTGTAAGAGAGCCATGCCTAGAGATCTCCTCATTTACAATGACAAAACATGTTTTCAAGATAAAAACTCTTGGTATTTTTATGTCTAATATTCTAGGTATATTACAACTGCTCCTGTATTGAAATGAAAACAGAAATAACACCTTCTGCAGCAAATTTTGGTTTTGAAGCTAAAGCTGGAAAATGTGAAACTCGATGTACAAATTTGCCCATATTCCTTGGCATTTTCTTTGCTGCAATTGTTTTTACCTTTATGGCTGGTACTCCTATAACTGTGTCCATCCTAAGGTATGTATTGTATTTGAAATTTGCCATCCCTAAGTCAACATGTTGAATGAAAATAATGGACTCAGAGGTTCATTTGGGGTTTATACTGACCATTGATTCTAATGCCAATTCAGCCCTTACAGGATCATTAGTTTGATGCTATTAAAAATGCTACTTCATTGAGTCTCAGATGCATGAGGTTAAAACGAAATCATGTATGTGAAAGTGTCCTAACATCGCTCACCTGTTATATGCTTGATGTTAGTTTCTCTGCTTCTTTCATGAGGCTTCAGTTGTAAGCTGGAAATATGTTCAATTGTATTTGAGTATGACTGAAATTCAATGTACTCCATATATGTCAGAATCAGAATGACATGCATTTTACCTTATATAGCAGGTGCTGTGATATAAAACCTTCCTGTGAACAGTGCTAATAGATAAAAAACTGTCACCTGGCTTTTGACAGTGTTTTGCTCTTCTGCCTTCTATACTACCTTGTAAAAATATTTCCTATCTGCCCTTCCATAAGCACTTCACCCTTTGTATTTCTTTCCAAACAAACTCTGGCTTTTTCCCTTTTAAGTTTTGATTCCTTGATACTCACCTTTTTTTTTTTTACATACTTTTTGATGAATGGAAGTTTTAGAGACTCTGTCTAAAAACATTAAATATCTGTTAACATTATATTGCATGGAAAATGGGAGTCATTTAGAGACTAGAGAATATGTTTTTAAAGAATTTATTTTGGCTATTATAAATAATGCTGCTATGAACACAGGGATGCATATATCTTTTTGTATTAGTGTTTTGGATTTCCTCAAATGAACACCCAGAACTGGAGTTGCTATGGAGTACAACAGTTCTATTTTTAACTTTGGGAAGAATTTTCATACTGTTATCTATAGTGGCTGCACCAATTTACAATCTCAGCAGTGCACAAGAGTTCAGTTTTCTCTACATACTTGCCAATAGTTGTTGAGTTTTTGTTACTAGCCCTTCTGACAGGTATGGTGATATCTCCTTGTGGTTTTAATTTGCAATTCTCTGATGATTAATGTTGTTGAGCATCTCTATGTCTTCTTTAGAGAAATGCCTATTCATTGTCTCTGCATACTTTTAATTGGATTTTTTTTCACTTCTTCATTTTATTTTTTAAAATTTTTTATTGAACTTTTTCCATTACCATTTAGTCCACTTATATTCCCCACCCCCACAATGACCACACTACTTAGTGGTCTATAAATAGATGAATGGATAAAGATGTGGTTAATTACACACACACACACACACACACACACACAATGGAATATTACTCAGCAATGAAAAAGAATGAAATCTTGCCATTTGTGACAATGTGGATGGACATAGAGGGTATTATGATAAATGAATAACTTAGAGAAAGATGAATGCTTTATGATTTCACTTACACTTGGAATCTTAAAAAAATACAGACTTCTAGAAACAAAACAAACTGATGATTGCTAGGGGGTGGGGGAAGGATTGGAGGATAAGTATAAAAGTAAAGGGGAATAAGAAGTACACATTTCTGTTACAAAATAAATAAGCCATGGTGATGTAGTGTATAACACAGGAAATATAGCCAATAATATTTAATAATTGTATGGTTGGTGGAGGAGTAAATGGAAGTCACACTGACCCCCTCCCAGGACCAATCTGGAATTACAACTAAATTGTGGAGAAATTACCTGGAACAAACAACTGACCAATAGTGAAAGAGAAGCTTATAACCTTGGACAGACAAAAGAATCAGCTTCAGCACAACCTGACTGGTAAGGAGTTCAGTGGAGATCGGAGAAGGCTGGCTGGGCACCCACAGTCGGCAGTGCCAGAGGGATAATTAAGCAGTCAATTGGATCCTCTTGAAAAGAGTGGGGTCTAAACCCTAAGCTGGGATCCCCAGCCTACAGCATCAGAGCCCAAAAAGCACACAGATAACAGCCAGCTGCGAAAAGTAATAGGGTTGCTCTTTGCCAGAGACTGATGGCTGGAGATGCAAAGAGGCATTTAAAGGGCCAACACACAAATTTTCATTTGTAGCGACTTAGCCTGGGCTCTGGCATAGCCGGGGCAGAGTGGGCTAGAGACGCCTGAGGAGAGACTGAGATGGAGGTTTTGGGGAGAGAACTGAGAGAATAGCTGCAGGATCCAGTGCTGAGTCATCCCCCATGCGGCAGCAGCCATAATGCTCAGGCAGACCACTCCCCTCCAAGCAGCACCAGCCTGAGGAGAAACAATAGCCCTGGCCCCAGAAGGGACTCTGTCCCACTGTGTGGTGCTTAAGCCTGACTACTGAGTGCAGAGTGACTGGATTAACAACTGAAGGAGACAGGCACAGACAGTAGATTCCTGGAAGTCTCCAACAGACTGCCTAAGATCAGATGAGGTCAACATCTGACATCATCAGAGGCTGATCCAGAGAGAAAAAACAGTGATAAATACTAGAGGTTACCGAGACAAAACCCACTGTGGATTTGCAATATTTTCTTTAACATTCATTTCTTGTCCATCAAGTTTGTGCATATGAAGTCATTAGATTTTATACTATAGTTTACTTCTCTCCTTTCTTATAATAGTTTTAATCTGTTTACACCCTTAGTAATACTGGCTCATTTGTTGTTGATAGTGGGATTGTAGGTGGGCATTATTTTTGTGAGTGTGGGTTTGTTTCGTGGGCTTTGTGGTTTTGTTCTGGCAGCACCTGCATAACAGCATACAAAACATGGTGAGAGTAGTGACCTTCAGTCAACAACCTGGAAGGAAGGACCAACCTAAGAACAACCCAACAGCAATCAAAACTCAGTTACATCAAGAGAGTCAACATAAAGGGCATCCCAAGAGCATCAAGTTCAGGAGATCAAGGAGACTGAACCACAGAATCTTACAGGTCTCCCATCATATAAGTTCATACCACAAAGACAGGGAGTCAAAACAGATCAATTTAAGAAGCAGAAGCAGAATCTTGCAAATAATGGGAAAACAAAGAACACCCAATCGAAAGGAAAGGAGGAATTCTCAGAAAAGAGTGGTAAATGAAATAGAGGCAAGTAATCAGATATTGAGTTCAAGACAATGGTTATAAGGAAGCTCAGTGAGCTCAGAGAGAATTACCAAAAACTACAGGGAAAGTACGAGGAACTTACTGCAAACTATATCAGCATGAAAAAAGACATAGAAACTATCAACAAGAGCCAAGAGGAAATCAAGAATACAATTTATGAATTGAAGAACACAGTAGAAGGAATAAAAAGCAGGCTAGATTAGGCACAGGATCAAATCAGAGAGCTGGAGGACAAGGTAGGATAAAACTCCCAGAAAGGGCAAGAAAAGGAAAAAAATACTAAAAAAAACCTGAAGATGGGTTAGGGGAACTGCAGGACAATATGAAACATAATAATATCAATATAACAGGGATACCAGAAGGAGAAGAGGAGTAAGGGATAGAAAACCTGTTTGAAAAAGTAATGATAGAAAACATCTCTAATGTGGTGAGAGAAAGAGTCACACAAGTCCAGGAAGCACAGAGGGTCCCATGCAAGAGGACCCCAATGAGGCCCACTCCAAGACACATCATAATTAAAATGGCAAAATTCAAAGAAAACAGAGAATCTTAAAGGCATCAAGGGAGAAACAGGAGGTAATATACAAGGGAGCCCCAATAAGGCTAGCAACTGACTTCTCAGCAGAAACACTACGAGCCAGACAAGATTTGATCTCCAAAATATATAAAGAACTCACATGACTCCACTCCAGGAAGACAAACAATCCAATTAAAAAATAGGCAAAGGATCTGAGCAGACACATCTCCAAGGAGGACATACAGAGGGCCCAGAGACATATGAAAGGATGCTTATCATTATTAGCCATCAAAGAGATGCAAATTAAAACCATAAGGAGATACTACTTCACACTGGTCAGAATGGCCATCATAAACAAATCAAGAAACAAGTGCTGGCGAGGCTGTGGAGAAAAAGGAACCCTAGTCCACTGTTAGTGGGCATCCAGACTGGTGCAGCCACTCTGGAAAACAGTGTGGAATTTCCTCAAAAAGCTGAAAATGGAACTGCCTTTTTACTCAGCAATTCCACTACTGGGATTATACCCTAAGAATTCTGAAACACCAATTCGAAAGAGCCAATGCACTCCAATGTTCATAGCAGCACAATTTACAATAGCCAAGTGCTGGAAGCAACCTAAGTGCCCATCAGTAATTGAGTGGATCAAAAAAGTATGGTACATTTACACAATGGAATACTACACAACAGAAAGAAAGAGCGAGCTACTACCTTTTGCAACAGGATGGATGGAACTGGAGAGCATTATGCTAAGTGAAATAAGCCAGGAAGTGAAAGACAAATACCTTGTGATCTCACCTATAGGTGGAATCTAATCAACAAAACAAACAAGAAAGCAAGATATAACCAGAGACATTGAAATAAAGAACAAACTGACAGGAACCAGAGGGGTAGGGGGAGGGAGATAGCAGGTGAAATAAGGGGAAGGGTTGTCAAAGAACATTTTTAAAGGACCCATGGACAAAGCCAAACGGGGGAAGGACTGAGGGTATGAAGTGTGGGTGGTTGGGGTAGGAGAAAGTGGTGGCGGGAAAATAGTGACCACTGTACTTGGACAACAATAAAAAAAAGAAAATAAATAAATAAAATGTTTATGTTTAGAAAAAAATAACTTTATGGTGACAGATGATTACCAGACTTAGTGTGGTGATCACATTGTAAGATAAATAAATGTTGAATCACTATGTTGTACACCTGAAATATATTGTATACCAACTGTAGTAAAAAAAATTAAATATAAAAAAAAAGAGCTCAGATTTTAAAAAAATTATCTATGTCACCTTTCAACTGCAAATTTGTTTTTAACGACTAATCTTTTAACCCACATCTATCTCTCTCTCGTGTCCCAGCATCATGTCGTATTCATTTTAGACAGTCGTTACTTAAAGAGTTATTGTTGAATCAGAGTGAAGCTTAGCAGCTGTTTTACATTGCCTCAAATTTTGTACTCTTATCTCATAGGTATGATTTCAGTCTCAAAGTTAGTAAGAGAGTATGAATTATTTGCTTGAGACTTAAATCGTCTGTCCTGTGAATTCAGCAATAGTCAAAAATAGGTCTTATTAATGAATGTTTTTTCTCCTTTACATTTGTTAAAATTCATACATTTTCAGTACATTTGTTAACATTTATTTGACTCTTTTTGGTGTTATTTGTGGTATTTTAGTTCAGAAAACATTTTCCTCCTTTTAGAATTCCAGAAAGTTTGAACTGTACCTAAACTGTTACAAATAATTTTTTTCTTTCATATGCATAACATTTACTTTAATCCAGAAATTCTACCCTGGTATAAAAATGAATATGCTCAAAAAGTGAATGAACTGCACAACCGTTTTTGGCCTCATGCATATTTACTACCTCTAGGTGTGTTAATCAAAAGCAGCGGTCTCTGGCATTGGGAGTACAGTTTACGGTGCTTCGGTTATTAGGTATGCCGCTTTTCTTATTCATTAGTAACTTGATTATTTTGTTCATTAATGTTACTGATTTGTTTATTTTTGGTATGTGCCAAGAAAGTAATTAATTAAACACACTAGAAAACTACATAATTGTCATTAAGAAAGCTGTTTTCCAATATTCGAGATGTAGTATTGTTTGTGTATCACATAATAATGACTTTTGGCCTACATAATTGGTTAAATATTGTTTCCATTTCTGTTGCAAATATAACCTTAAAGATTATAGTATATTTATTTGAAATATAACATAATCATCAATGCACTTCTAATAGAGTAAGATACATATTTTTCTATTCATACAAAACTTATTATCAACATAAATTATAAAATCTTATTTATAACTACTGTAACTTTTTCTTCCTGCATTTATCTCCATTTGGGGCATGATTATATTGTATCAGGATTGAAAACTAGTTAAGAATTGATGGAGAAAGAATTTATCCCAGAAAATTTTATAAGGTTCCAGATGTAGGAAGCATAAGAAAGAAAAAATTATATTACACACATAACTATGTGTTTATACTTACACACACAATATTATGAACATAATATTAACGTAACTTAAAAAAATAAAAGTAGGAACATTAGAGGTCACCTGAACCAACTTTCCCACTTTTCAGGTGAGTAAATGAAGTCCCTGCGAGATTCAGGGGCTTGCCCAATCAGTGGTGCAAATGAGAGTAGAAAAGCTGTCTCCTCACTCAACACTCAGTCCGGTGCTCTTTTGACTCTGTCATGTCACAGGTCATGAAAGAAGAGCTGGATGCAGCTGAAACCTTTGTCTAAGCAATACCACCTCAAATCATGTATTTGACTTTTAACCTTTATTTGACTGTAAAAGTTCCTTAATTTTTTGCCTTCTGACTTTACATGTGGGAGGGTGTGTATGTTTCAGAAAGCAAAACTAGGCTTGTTAGATTAATGTTTGTCAGTACACACCTGCATCTCGTGTACTCACATACATGTCAGTATGTGTATATACACACATATTGACATACAACATATAACACACAGTGTTTAGCATGCATTTTGTGCATCAGTATTTACATTTTTTAAAAAGTATAATAGCTGATTGCAAAGACACATTAATTAGAAAAACAGTGAATGAAAATATTAAATAAATATTAATGCAATAATGCTAGAGATTTCTATTAAAATAAATTTTAATTGATTAGAAATATGTAATTATGTATAATTATTTTGGAAAGTTTGCTCATATTTCCTTATAGTCCTGTTACTCATACATGTACTGATTGATTTGCAAATGAACAGATGTCTTCAACAGAGAAATTATTTATTGAGTATTAGAGTAACTCAAATGCATTAAAAATTATGCATTATGTCATTTTAAAGAATTGTTGCTTGCACTGCTTTCAAGTAAAAATAGGAAGCCAAAGTCAATAATTTTTTGCTTAAATGGATAGATTTAATGCCTATTCTCAGACTAATATTTACCCATGTGTATTTCACAAATAATTCCTCTAGGCTCAATACCTGGACCAATTATTTTTGGTGTTGCAATAGACAGCACATGTGTGCTCTGGGATATTAAAGAATGTGGAATTAAAGGAGCTTGCTGGATTTATGATAACATCAAGATGGCCCATATGCTAGTGGCCATATGTAAGTAGTGACTTACTGATAACTTCAGATTAAATCGATGATGTTAAGAGAAAAGACAATTATTTTTACTTAGGTTTTGAAATGTTCAGTCTACGCTATTGGGTTCTTCTATAGTCCTGAGGTCAGTTATCAGCAGGAAATAAAAGGCTTTACCTGGAGTCTGCAAGACTCAGTCTAAAATAAAAAAGACAGTAACATTTTAGCTTCCATTACATTACATATTCTGTAATTTTCTTTTAGCAACTTCTCTCAAACTCTTTTTGAGAAGTCTAACAAAAACAGGAGAATTTTTAGAAACTCTGGAATGATTTCATTTAGGCCCCTAGGCTCTGGAAAGCACATAGAGCTGAGGTAGGGAAGTGCCTGGCTCTAAGGCATGTGACAAGAAATCTTTTTGTAAGTTTAGAAGATTAGCCATGATGTTTTACTCCTTTTTGCCTTTGGCAGTCTGTCTCATATAGTCTTAGTTAAGCAATAAATAAAAATTAAGATTAAGGAAGCAGAGTAATGCATTTATTTTGTAAGAGTGAGATAAAAATTTTAAAACAACCTAAAAAATTAAAACATTTTAAAACAGAAATCTTAGATAGAAAATATATATATTTACATAATGTGTGATTTTCGTTGCAATTGAGAGCACAGTTATTTTAGCACATGGATCAAGATAGCTTATTGCTCTTACATGTGTTTAAATCCAGAGTATGCTGTCTGAGTTAATGATGACAGAGTAATAAAATATCCACTGAAGAAATAAATACATAAATTAAAAAAATGGGAGAGTAAATATTGACCAGAATAGGCAAGCTTAATCTTTCTATCACTTTTACCTGCTAAAAAACATTTCTTTATTCAATGTACATTTTACAATGTAAAATTTTAATTGATTATGTTTGTACTCTCACCAAAAGATATAGATAATGAATTATTCCTTTTCCTAATGTGTTGAATGTGAGCATTTTCCCCCCAAAACATATATATCTTTAAATTTTTCAAAAACATTGTAACAGTTGTACTTATGTAATTAATCTTCCTATAAACCTAGAAATGCTTAGCGCCTTGAACATTCCTAGTTCATTCAAGGTGCAAATGCTTAGCGCCTTGAACATTCAATAGTTACAATTTTGTATTGTAATGCACAATACTTACATTGTAAATAAAATATGATTGATTAACAGAAAGTAGCTACATTGCAAAAACTACATTGTAAAGCCATTTAGCTTATTTGACTGGAACTTAAATGCTTGTGCAGTGGCCAGAACTAGTTTCTCTGCATATAGCTGAACTGAAATTCTTAGTTGTTTGGAAACAAATCAAGCTGGAGAAGTGAATCCTGTCATTGTATTTTTTTAGTTGATACTTAAAAGTAAATTTGATTAACTATTGAATATGATATATTCTCACAGGGGCTTTCTCCAAAGAACTCCAAAGATTTTTCATTTTTAGAGTTATTTTCCATCATGAACATGAAAATTCTGTAACTTTATTTCAGGTTCAAGGATATTGTAAGCTATTTTCCTTTGTCATTGACCTCGTTGCTTGTAATTTTTTATAGGTATGGGATTGTGTTAATAAAGTTATATATGGAATGTGGATTTATTTCATTCTATAGAATACTTATTTTACAAGAATGTACAATTATAACCAAGAATAAAATAATTGTATATTCTTATTGTTTAGAAAGATAATGCAAGCTAGCTCATTGAAATGTACAGAAGATTTTTATTGAGGAATATCAACTTTCTTCCTAAAGTTCTAAAAGTTTAAAACATATAACTAGCCCTGGCCTGGTAGCTCAGTCGGTTGGAGTGTTGCCCCTTACACTGAAAGATTGTGGATTCTATTCTGCGTCAACACACCTAGGTGCAGATTCAGTCCCTGGTCTGGGTGTGTAGGAAAAGCAACCAATCAATGATGTTTCTCTCTCACATGGATGTTTCTCTCTCTCTCTCTCTCTCCCCCCTTCCCTCCTCCTCTCTCTCCCACACTCTTCTTCCCCATTCCTCTCTCTAAAAAACAATAAAAACATCTTCAGGTGAGGATAAAATAAATAAAACATAGAACTCTAATGACTATACACTTCTCTTTAATGTAGAGTTTCTAGTTGTAAAGAACTTCTCAATGAGAATTGGTTTCTTTAATAATTAAAGACCCAAATGCATGATTTTTTTTTATATATTTAGGTGTTACTTGTAAAATCATCACCATTTTCTTCAATGGACTTGCAATCTTTCTGTATAAACCACCGCCATTAGACAGAGATGTATCATTTCAAAATTTGAACACAGCTATATCTGCTGTTTCAATGGAATGTGACTTCAGCAAAGCAAAGAATGAAGGATGAAATAGAAAATGAGGAGACTGTTCTACAGATGGAAAACTGGCCTTTACTTATAAGAATGTACACTGCCATCCCAGCATTATCTCCTTAATATGGACAATCATTTTAAAAAGGAATGTTTTATAACTCAACTTGTTTTCTGTATATGTATGGTATATGTATGGACTTTTACTTGTTTTGTTTTAATGTAAGAAACAGACATATGCCTTCAAAAGCCACCAAAAGCCTCCATACACACACACACACACACACACACACACACACACACACACACACACACTTCCCATTGTCTAGGTATGAAATTCCCAACTAATAAAACTAAACCAGCAAAAAAAGCTAGTGATTAGTTACAACTTTTGGTGTAAAAATTTAATTAAATTTATGTGTGATGATTTTCAAAAACTATTAATGAAAGCCTATGAATTTAAAACCAGCTAAATAATATTTTTTAAATTTACACATACTAATATGTCTTTTATCACAGAAATTTATAGAACTATTAGAATATAGGTTAATTATCTTCTCTGTGACCCAGTATATAGTAAATTTAGAAATATCAGTATTATATATACATATTTTCACTTTAACTCAAAAAATCCAGGGGTAATTTGTTGATGTTGCTCATTTGTAACACTGAACCTCTTAATATGAATCTGTGATAATGTTGTTCAGTTACATATATTCTGGAGGAAAGTACCAGCTTTGGCAAGGAAAAGTGCCAATTAGACAGAAAAAAAGATTTCTTTTTTTAATGACTAAGGTGCATTTTATTGGTTTTCTTTGAAAGGATTTTTTAATGAATGATTACTTAGATAGTACTTTCATTTTTATCATTTAAAAAACTGGTTACCTAGTACATTACTTGTAGCACTAAAATAGTGCTGTGCTTATAAGTTAGCATGTTCTATTATTGTTTGATTTAAAGCAACCTCCTTAGCTGATCCATTTATTTGAAAGATAAAAGTGCTTCAAATATCTGATATTACAACACTCCATTTATTCAGATCAGACTTCAGCCAACTTTGTCTACTCAGAATGTGGAGAAAGGAAATCAGTGGACATCAACAAAAATAACTTCTGCCTGATCAAGAATTTTACTGATTAAGAAAAATGTTCATTCTTACCCATTTGAGATTTTTCTGAAATAAAGTTACTAATTTAATAAGGTCAGCTTTTTTACTAGTGTGTTATATACACTGTGATCAGAATAACAAACTGAGAGTAAAGGCTTGGTAGGAAACCAGCATCAGGAGCACAGGTAATTCACAGAATTTGCAGATTATATTTCATGGTAATCTGTGGCCAACGATGATTCAAGAAACTCTTGAGGTTTATTAATTAAAGTGTAAGAAGGAATGAATTAGAGTTAGACAAGCAAGCATGCTTGACTATTAGAGAATTAGAGGAGGAGTGGGTCAGGAATCAGAGAGAAAGGCAAACCTAAACCAGAATCATAAAACTCAGAGGGTGAGGCTATACGTGTAGTCAAAACCCCAAGAATTTGGGAAGCAGGAAATTCCCAGCAACCAAAGAGACAGTGCAGGGTAGGCAGGGAACAAACACATGACACCTCTGTTCAGAATCAGTTTTCCTTCCACCCAACCAGATGTGTTTTAAAGGCTGCTTTCTGCTGGAGACAATCTAAAGGAGAGTTTAGGCTTTCTGTGTCTGTATGTGGGAGCAGGGAATTGAATAGAAAAATTTTCAAGGTGTAAAATAACGGCAAATTCTGAGGAACTCATTGGTAGAAATGTGGAACGACAGCAAGAGAGGAAACAGTAACTATGAAAACATATTCTTCTAAGGCCAGTTAAATAAGAAAAGAAAAAACAATAACCACATACATAAAAATGGATGAAAAAGTCACTAAATAATTGGCAATCTTAATGGTTTTTAGTTTTCAAGGATTTTATTGTAGTCTGGGTACTCGTTTTATGATACTTTTACAAAGTTTTTAATAATGGTCAAAGTGAAAATTTTGGCACTTGAAGGAAGTCAGTCTCTTATTTTATATATATATAAAAATAAATATATTTTATATATATATATATTTACAAAAAATACCTCCTTTCATGATAGGGCAGTGCAGACACTACTGTAATTTGTAAATATTGTTTATACTTTTGGGTTCACATAGATTATATGGTTTGGTATTATGCTACTTTTAAAACAATTTTTCATAGTATGTATTTTTCACAATTTGTAATGATTTTTAAATAAATGAATCTGTAAGTTAACCTGTGATGATTTTTATAAGCAATTAATTGCATTTGTATTATTTTTAACATTTTTTTAACATGTGGATTTCCTACAGTAAGGAAATCCACATGTTAAATTTATACAAGGAGAGAACTATATACAGTTGATTTAGCTATATAAATTGGAGGAAAATATATATAAAACTTTATTTTCTTTTGTAAACAATAATGCAAATGCATATGCATGCCTTCCTTAAAATCAGTCTTTGTACCAGATTTTTTTATGTGTTTAACCTTATTAAATGGTACAGATTTTGAAATGATTTTCTGTTTGACTACACATACAAATGATGGAGAGAGGAAATCAGTGTACTTTTGAACTTGGTGAATGTGATTTAGTTAATCTGGTGATTTCTGGCTTCTCAACAGATGTATAATTCAATATAAACTACATACATTATGAAATATATATAAAAATTCTCCACACAATAGTTTTCATGTCTGAAAGATGGATATAGAAAGTTTCTATGAGCAGGATACCTGTTATAGATGGTTAGTTGTGAAATATCTGACTCTGCAAAAGTAATGTTTTGGGAAAGTTATACTTAATTCTTTGGGTTACCAAAATCGTATAATAGTTTTTAAAGGGTTCAGACTGGACATTGAAATGTAATGTTCTTTTCCCCCTCACCACAACATATTCAGGCTCCTTTAGCTTTCTTTTGTGACCCCAAAACAATAAACATTAACTTATTCATTATATGTGAGTGATCAAAAATAAATAAAAGATTGTAGTTTTCAAATTGAATCAGGACATTGGATCAGAACATTTTAGTGTTTTAGCTAAAATTAATTTACCCTGTAAAAACCATCCTCAATAATTGACATCCTAATTTCTTTTTTTTGGAGACAGCTTGTCTGAATTTTTAAAACTTTGTTTTGTAGTAATTTTAGATTTATAAAAACTTTTAAAAAGTACAAAGAATTTTCCTATAAGCTTTACTAGGTTTCCCCTAATGTTAACATTTTACATGTCCATGGAGCAATTACCTAACCGAGGAAATTAGCATTGGAGAAATAGTTAACACCACATCAGCAAAAGGGCATGGCAGAACTATTTCCTGCATTGGCAATGTTAGTGAATTTGATTGTGGAACTGTATGTATTAATGCGTTTTTGCTGTAAGTAAATCATGCGCCAATAGAACTGATTTGTAAAGAGGAAATGATATTAGAAACAATGCTTAAAAAAAAACATTGCTGGGAATCATGCCAGCGATAAGGATGTTTCTAAGAAAGGAGCCTGGTATCTCCTCTCTAATTGGATGCTTGCTAAGTTCAGTTCTATCAGAATGGAATATGTACACCAATATTATGAGGGAGAAAAGGAACATAGGACTGGGTTCCTAGCTGAGGCCTGGGCACCGCAATATACGGACAGGAAGCCTTAGAGGAGTAGCTACACTTACCTGAAGACAAGAATTGCCCATGCCATGAGATGCTGCGATATTCCAAGAATGAGATATTCTTGAACATGTCTTGATGGGACTGTCCCAAAGAGATGCCTGCTGTGAGGTCCTACAATGGGTCCCTGACTTACAATGGTTTGACTTACGATTTTTATGATTTTTCATGATGGTGGGAAAGCAATAAACATTCCGTAGGAACCATACTTTGAATTTTGATCTTTTCCCAGGGTAGTGATATCCAGCATGATACTCTCGTGATGCTGGGGAAGCAAGCGGCCCATCCGAGTCAGGCAGGAGATCCGTAGGGTAAACAGCTGATACTCCACAGTGTACTGTGTAGCAGCATTTTTTTGTTTTACTTCAGTGAAGAATGTTTTACTTCAAACATTCTTCAGCCCAGTGTGCTTTTAGCTGTGTATGTTAAATGGTGGATCCACTCCTACCACTATTCAGTTTTTCACTAGCAGTGCAGTAGTCAATAAATTACCTGAGGTATTCAACGTTTTTTTATAAAATAGGTTTTTAATGCAAGTGTCCTGAGCATGTTTAACGTAGACCAGGAATTTAGGTGTATTAAATGCATTTGCTATTTAGGATATTTGAAATTTACAATGGATTTATTGGGACATAATCCCATCGTCAGTGGAAGAGCAACTGCAGAAGCAGGAACTAATTTTGCAAGAAATCAGCTCAAGGGAGCATCGATCTGCCTGGGAACTGATCATTTCAGGAGTCACTATGGACTCACAATTGTACCTCCTAGTTAGGCCTGCTTTTTTCAGAGGCTTGCCAGAAAGGAGGGCATGGAGATCAGCCAGGAGTAAAGAGAAAATTACGTAGGTCCTGGTAGTCATGTTTTTGCTTCTCGCCCTGCAGGAGATTACAGAAGACAAGGACTATTGAGTTTATTATCCCTTCCCTTAACAGGACCCTTTTCAATAACTCAGTTCTAATTTGGGGATATGAGAGAACTGAGACCTTTCTGATGTTTAAAAATGGCCTCCTAGCTATAGAATGTATCCAAGAATTTTGTCAAGGAGGTGGAGTTAATATCCTACAGAATAGATCTGAAGGTAGCAACAGAATAAGGTGGTTTACATGAGTTCCACCTTTTCTAGTTATGTTACTGTCTTCGTATCATTTTACTTATGCAGAGGAAATAAACATTATGATTTTAGTATATTTCTTTCTCTCTAACCCGTGAAAAAATTTATTCCTTAACTTTCTGAAAAGCATTAACTAGAGTTTGGGTTGAGTCATTAACAACAATGCCTTGAAATTGAAGTCATCTATAGAGCTTTAAAAGTAAATATTCAACTCTCATCCGGGATCAATTAAATCCACTTTTAAAAACTTCCTAGGTGATTTTAAAGTGAACTCAGGGTTAGATAGAAACTAACACATTGAAAAAGTAGAGGCAAAGGTCATAAATCACATTTTGCCTGTGATTTAATTATTTTTATATCCAATTTGATCTCTAAGAGAATAAAAGTTTGGTTTGAAAGCAAAGGATAGAAAAGGAATAATTTGGTTACTGTGGGGGCTTCTGAAAATATGAAAGCATGTGCTGTCTGGAATGGAGTAAGGTGAGTTGGGAAAGAAAGTTGGAAAACAATGGAGAGAAATTTACCTGTTTACAAACTTTTCCCAAGGCTCTTCCTTTCAGAAATAAAAACTTAGAGAACTGCACTTGACAACTTCCTTCCTTTCGTGCACTAATGAACCACTTCTGTAATAATATGGGCATTAACACTCACTATAGGCTATTTCATAGAGAGATCAAAGAATTGGGTTGAATGTGGGTTGAGTTGCATGAGAGGGCATTATGTAATGATAATGTGAGAAATTCTGGTAGAGGAAAATGGAGCAGATTTGACATAATTAAATGGAGATGCTTAACACACTGACAGACATAAAACAAAGATATACTGGCACATGTTCCTCCACTATATTCTTGAGATCTTCCACAGAATATGGAAACAACTGACCCGTCTGGCTTCCCAATGGCTGAATACAGTGACTAGTTTCTTTGCTA